GGCGTCATCCCCATCAACTCGCGCGGCGAAAAGCAGCGCATGCACCTGCGCGACGGCTTCCTGCAGGACCAGCTGGACCCCATCTACGTGGCCTACAACATGTAGCGTGCACGTGCGTGTGTGTGTGTGTGTGTGTGTGTGTGTGTGTGTGTGTGTGTGTGTGTGTGTGTGTGTGTGTGGGTTGAGTGGGTGTGTGTGTGTGTGTGAGGGTTGGGTGGGTGGGTGTGTGTGTGTGAACTAACAAGCTCCGCCTCCTCGTCCCCTTTCAGGCTATTCGCACTGGAAGGGCCAAGTTTTGACGGCGGACGAACTGCACGTTCTCTACGAAGGCATCAAGCTCAACAACGTGCACCAGTACGATTACGTTCTCACAGGTGTGCGCGTATCCGCCGGTGACGAAGGTCTTTGTTTGTTCGACGTTTGTCCAAATGGCGGGAATGCCTTGTGTTCAGGCTACACCAGGGACACGTCCTTCCTGGAGATGGTGGTGGATATCGTTCAGGAGCTCAAGAGAGCCAATCCAAATTTGGTGTACGGTGAGTGGTGACTTCTCTTCTTGAGGCTTGATGACGTGGAGGGCTCTCCCAACTTTTTACCCCCAACCACCCTGTGGACAAAAATGTTTGGAACGTGAGCGCGTAGTACTAAGTGGCCCACCACTAGAGGGAGCCCGCACACCACTTGTGGTACTCGTTCGGCCTTGGGAGCGCGGCTGCTTTTTCACAACAGAGATGGGAACGGAGTCGGCGTGTGTTGCTTTTGTCGTTGCAGTGTGCGACCCGGTGCTGGGTGACCACGGCTCCATGGTGGGTTGTGAGTGTGCTTTACGCGTCTCGAGTGTTTAGCGTTTGGTCTCCGTGTTCTGACTGCGAATGTCTTGACAGTACGTCCCTCAGAACCTCTATCCGGTGTACAAGAACAAGGTGGTTCCCGTCGCTGACATCATCACTCCCAACCAGTTTGAGGCAGAGTGAGTTGTATTTATCTGCCGTTCATTGAGCAATCGTGACCTTCCGTGATCGCTTCTCAGGAGAATCCGCGTGGATGGCGGCATGCAATTTCAAAACAAAACCGGTTGTTCCGAATGAGTGACACCAGTCGCCATCTTGAGTTATAAAATGTTTATTTACATCATTCCAAAAAGCCAAACTCACTTATGCCTTACAGACATGAGAAAATATGTTTTGGAAACCCGATGACTGTCACACTTTTTCAATGATTCCAATCATCTTTTTGATTGTTCCTGATGTCATCGACCGCAATTTGTTGAGATGGCGAACGGTGCGTTTTCACAAACCGTGGAGCATAAATATCAAAATGACAAAAAATGCAATCATAAAATGATCATCAATTGTATGACTTTATTTTTTTTCCAACTGAACTGGTGAAGTCAATTCAAGCTTTTTTGCACACGCCGAATGATTTTTTTTTTTCAGACTGTTAACGGGGAAGAACATCAGCACAGAGAAAGATGCCGTGCAGGTGAGCAGCCTGCGTTCTTCCCAATTCGTCTTTGCTTTTGAACAAGCCGCTTTGTAAGCGTCTCTTTGTTTGCCGCACAGGTGATGGACCTGCTGCACGCCATGGGCCCGGACACGGTGGTCATCACCTCCTCCGACCTGCCCTCCAGACTGGGCGATCGCTTCCTGGTGTCGCTGGGCAGCCAGCGTCACGGTGGCTGTCACTTACACACTGATTTGATTGATGCGCTGCCTTTGAGGCAGCAAAAGGTAATCCTCGCTCTCCGTTCAGTTCGCCCCGACGGCAGCAGGACAACGCAGAGGGTCAGAATCGAAGTTCCCAAAGTGGACGCCGTCTTTGTTGGGACGGGCGACTTGTTTGCCGCTATGCTGCTGGCGTGGACCCACCACTACCCGAATGACCTCAAGGTACCGACGGCCACTCGACAGTGGACCAAAGTATTGGGACACAGTTCTAAATTACCAAATGAAGCGATCCGCAATTGGACAAGATCCCTCAGAGAGTGAGAGAGAGGAGACGCGGCAGGAAAACAGCCCAAAATCCATCCGGGGGCGGGTGAGGCAGGGCCAAGAAACTCACTGCGTACTCTTAGTGCTTTGACCAAAATGGCAGAGTGGACTAGTGTGGGAGGTCTTACGGCTGTAAATCCCCCATTTGTTCAGGGTGTCCCAATACTTTTGCCGACCGCTTTTCCAAAATACCCAAGCTGCCATGAATACGCACATTTTCTCTGTCCACCCTTGTGCCAATCAGACGGCTTGTGAGAAAACATTTTCGGTGATGCATCACGTCATCCAGAGGACCATATCGTACGCTCACGGTGAGGAAAGCCTTCTCCACCAGCAGGTGGCGCACACTCACAGTTTTTTTGTTGTGTTTTTTTTTTATTTTTAAACCGGGCAGGAAGAGTGACAAATCAGCGTGTATTTGAATACTATTGTAATTTCACTGACTAGAAAATGTTAAAAAATAGCCCTGAATAACAATGGCATGGGTTTGAGCCCACCCCCACCCCAGAAAAAAAACCCCACTGTATCTTCCACCAAAGTCTGGATTGTCTTCTTCTCCCTCTCCTCAGAACTGGCAGGTCCCGGTCGGAGGCCCAGCCCCCCCCAGCTGGAGCTGCGGATGGTCCAGAGCAAAGCCGACATCGAAGACCCCGCCATCGTGACGGAGGCCACCGTCATATCATAACGACCGCCAGCGTCCCCGTCACTGTCAAGGTCATTTTGTAACGCATCAACCCGATTGGTCCTCGGACCCTTTGTAGTCCTTCTAGCTCCCCCCGACGCAAGCCATTAGCCTCCGCGCTGAGCCGCAGATCGACAGGAGGGGCGGCCCGTCAAAAACAGGACGTGTGACGCACCCCCGCGTGCTCCGAAATTGTGTTCTCTGCGGCTCCACTTCCACTTCCGTGCATCTTTTAGCAGTGATGTGATGGTGATCAATCAGCCCGCCCCACAGAAAATACTACAGAGGGGGGGGGGAAAAAAAAAACGCACAATGTATAGTTGATGTGTAGATGTTGTACTATAACTGTATTGGACCGTCTGTATGATCGTGTCTAGTTGACCATTGTGTGCTACTCAGCTACACGCACACACACGCTATGTGAATGAACTTCTCAAAGACATCGGTACTTGTATTCAAATATTTGAATAGTACCTCCATTTTAAGAGGGGTGGGGGGGACACGCATATCCATTTGTCACATCTGGGCTGATTTTTCGAACCTAAGGGACCACACAAGCGTGTCCTTACTGCTCTCCTTGTGTGCCGTCTCCTCGAGATTAGCAGCACATCAACTGCATCACGGGCTTATCGTGATAAGCCGAGCGGTCATCGTGAGTCTCTTCCCCCGAACCAGATGTGTGTGCTCGTGCCTACGTTGAACATTTATGGTTGTTTTCCAGGCCAATCGGGTAAGGGGGAAAAAAAATCTCTCTCAACACACCACCCACCACTCGGATAATCACTCGGAGGCCAATCGGGTAGGGGGAAAAAAATCTCTCTCAACACACCACCCACCACTCGGATAATCACTCGGGATTCTCTTTTGGAGACATCCGACAATCAGGCCATTCGTGACATTGAAAATGGTTGAAATTAGGTCAGATTATCGGTACATGTGTACCCCACCGACTTGCTGTGAAGTTACTTTCACCGTGACAAAAGCTGAGAACGCCGCATATCTGATCACAGTTATGAAGATCACGTCATGAGAAACCTTGTTTTGGGCTGAAAGGCCAAAACTGTCAAAATATTACACGCCATCCTAATAGGAGGTGGTGTGAGGAGAATTGGTGGTAGGGGAGGGGGGGAATCATTCCATCTCGCAATAATGTCAAAATTATCTATCTGGAGTGTGTGCTCGTAACGTGAAGGTCTTGATGTCACCATTTGAAAACAGGCGCCCTCTCGCGAGCTGCCGTGAAACTTTCCAACGTGTCTTCCCCCAAATGGAGGGCGTGTTTCAATATGACGACGATGTCATGAAGCATTTTTTTGGGTTGTTGTTGTTGTCGTCGTCGCTGATCATTTTTAAGTCGGCTGTCTCCTGTTCTGTCGTGCCATATTTCCTCAAATAGAAGAATAGAAGCTGTTTGAGTCTGCTGGATTTGGTGCGCATGGATCGGTGGCGCGGGCGGCCCGGTAGTCCAGTGGTTAGCACGTCGACTTCACAGTGCGGAGGTACCGGGTTCGAATCCAGCTCCGGCCTCCCTGTGTGGAGTTTGCATGTTCTCCCCGGGCCTGCGTGGGTTTTCTCCGGGTACTCCGGTTTCCTCCCACATTCCAAAAACATGCATGGTAGGCTGATTGACTGCTCTAAATTGTCCCTAGGTGTGAATGTGAGCGTGGATGGTTGTTCGTCTCTGTGTGCCCTGCGATTGGCTGGCAACCGATTCAGGGTGTCCCCCGCCTACTGCCCGAAGACGGCTGGGATAGGCTCCAGCACCCCCCGCGACCCTAGTGAGGATCAAGCGGTTCGGAAAATGAATGAATGAATGAATGGATCGGTGGCGCTTGCCTGAGGGGGGTAGCTGGAAAAGGTGGTGGGGGGGGGGGGTCCAGTAGGATTTTCCGTGCCCTTGTCTTGGTTCTTGCAGTGTGCAAGTCCTCAAGAGTGGGTTGGGCGGTGCCGATGAGTTTTTCCCTCAGTCCTAACTGTCACCCCCGTTCGCAGTGGAGTCAATATTTTGCAGACATTATCTGAGGAAATATGGCCTTAGAGTAGGAGCCAGCAAACGAGCTAACTGCACTTAGCACCGAGAGTCGAGATGAACAAAGGTGTCGCGTCGAATGCCACCCAGTGAGTTTTCTCCCGTCCGTTTTCCAACGATGGGCTAACGTCGTGCCGGTCGTCGTGTGGTGACTCATTCGTCATCAACATCCTCCTCATCGGGCTGCCTCGACCTCCCCTTCACATCCATTCGCTTCCGCGTCAGCTTCATCGCGCTCGTCGCTCTTTTTGACTCCAGTGTCTTAGCTTCCTGCCGGCCAAGCAGGCGGCCGTGTTGATCGGTCCAAATGTCCACCTGTCGTGTCTTTTCTGGGGCTGCCTGCGTGCGTGTGTTTCTATTCATGAATGGTCACAGGGTTGCGCCCGTGTGGGAGATGAGAAGGCCGTCAAAATGCAAGAAATTGTAAGTGTGGCCAAATAAGAACAAAGGAGCATGTGGAGGCTCCTTCAAATTGATTTGATAGAAATACGAGAAGTAAAATTTAAAAAAAAATGCAATGAATGTCATCATCATCTACTTTTTCTAGAATTGACGTGGGGAAAAAATATCTACAATTAGATTTTTGTGAAAAAAACAAAAACAAAACAATGTTTCGACCGTCCAACCCGATGCCTTTGGTGACCTAAAAGAGGAGTCAAATGGATCGTTAGCCTGATTGCGTGATTGCACAAAAGTCACTTTTTTTGAAAAGCAAGAAAAAAAATCAACAACAAAGATTCCACTTGTCGCAATTCACGCGTTGTGGATTTTAAGGACTTTGATGACTGAGAATCATCATTGATGTCTCGAGGAAAAAAAAAACAAAAACTTTTCGGTCCATTCAAAATGATTTTGTGCAGTTCTGCTATTGGGCCAACAGCACGCGAAACTTGTCCGTCTTTGTGTGTTTCCCGTCCACCTCAATTTCACTTTGGGACTTCCTGCTTTCCAACTCCGCTGACTCAGATGTGATATCGGAACGTTCGTATTTCTTTCCTAAAGAAGCACAAATGATTTCTGAAGCAGAGGTTTCTATCAATATTTGTTCAAACAGATCAACATATCGCCTCATCCATAAATTGTGTGGAAAAACAAAAAATAGTGCCCAAATGAAGCACTTGTGGTTGATGTAAATTCCTAAGCGGTGTGTGATGGCTGTTGAACATTTAAAAGCAGGGGGGGGGGGACTCTAAATGTGACTCACAGTATATGTTAGTTGCCGAGCGCAGTCAGCAACTGGTCAATGTTTTTATTTGTCTTCAATTATGTGTGACAACATCAAGTGTGCCCCGGTTCCGGTTCTGACGTGGACAGCGTCCTCTCTGCCAACCTGTTTGAAGTTCTTGATGGCGAAAAACAAGAAGACAAATGAATTATTTATCGTTTGGTAATTGTTTTTAGTGCTATGTTTTTGCAGTCTTTTCTAATGTGTCACAATATAAGATTGTAGTGTAAAAATTCACATTTATAAAGTATAAATATATACACATAGATATATATGTTCCAATGCAATAAAGACAAAACGACGAGTTCTAAAAAAAAAACCGCACCTGTGTATTATTTCCTCTGCTGAACAGTAATCGATACGTAGGTGACATCACCTTGTGAGAAAAAAAATCATGATCAAATATTTACGCTTCTGTCGTTCCTCTGGAGTTGAACTTGTTGGTCACAGTTTATTTCGGAACGTTGTCCACAGCACAGACATTTCATTAATTTTATTACATTTTTATACATTTTTTACGTTTCGTTCAAAGTCTGGCGTATGTATTATAAACTTTTTTCTTCCATATGAATACTGTACCTGACTGTTGGACCGCCTTCTGCTCTTGGCGGTTTTACTCTGAGTGCGCATGCGCTGTGACTTGTCTCCCGAACGTCATCGATATGGCAGAAGTACAGTCAGTGGTAGGGACACACACAGGTTTGTCACATGAAATATGGTATGTTAACCCTGTTGAGAATACGACGATGTTAAGTAACAAATAATAAACTACAACAGCCCTCTTGTAATGCATTACGGCATAATAAATAGAATTTGGCGTTGAGCTTCTTTGGTGCGAAATGACCTTCGCCGGCCTCCGTCGTCAGCGTTTGTTTTGTTGACATTTTTTTTTTTGCTCTCTTCCGTCAGCTGACTTGTCCTCTAGTTAGCAACAAAACTAAGACGTAACGCGGCGATGTTGCCAACAGCTCGACAAATGTTGTCGTATTTGAGAGGGAAAGTAGCGCAACATGGCAGTTACGTTCTTGACCGACTCGTCTCGTTTCGTCGCTGAACTGCTGCGAGTAACCTCGCCAGTTAAGCTTTAGCCCGTTAGCATCCGTCCCGAATTCAACTGGAGTAGCAGACACACATGGAGGGCGTCTTGTACAAATGGACCAACTACATGACCGGTGGGTCTCCTTTCTGTCTTTTTTGTCTATGTCTCATGTTGTGTCTCGAGGTCACGTTAATCAGGTTCATTGTTCATCGATTTATCATAGTCATGCTGATGGTTGTCGTGTCAGAATAACAGCTACGCGAATTCAGAAACAAGACACTGCATACGTAGTGTACAGGTGATATTGTAATTGTTTTATTTACAAGGAAAATGATCAGTCATGCGCTTCATACACCGTGTCGCATCGGTGATTTATTCAAGTTTGGCTAATAATACAATTTAGTGCAGAGTACATAAACAAGGGACCGTAATATGTCAAGGCATCACGTATGAATAATAAAGTCTAAAAGAACACGTTGATGCCAACAATGTGGACAAGCCGAGAGCGACAGAGGCCAAGAAAACAAATCCATTTGTTCAACACTTTTCCATTCCATTTCCCTTGTTAGGGGTTTTTATTTTTTCCTTCGCAGTAAGATATAATCATCCAAATTTCATTCAGAAAAATCTTGAAATCTGACATTCACCTTTTTATGGTGGCCGACGTCTACCAGTCCATGGCTAGTACTCATCATAAGACGAGCATCCAAGAAAGACACTGCACTGTATGTAGTCACAACGAATACAATAGCGTTCACGTTTATATTTTCATCCGTAAGGACATTGCCGTTCGACGCACATCTCAATCACGTTTTCCGCCGAATGAAGTAAAGGCTTCACGTGTACGGCAGGCTGGCAGCCGCGCTGGTTCGTGCTGGATGACGGCGTCATCTCCTACTACGACAGTGAGGACGATGTGGGCAAAGGAAGCAAAGGCTCCATCAAGATGTCCGTGTGTGAAATTAAAGGTTGGCCCGCCGGCGGCGTCCCAAAGAGCGGAAGTGATCCCGACCTCGCGCGGCTCACCTCGCTCCTTTGCAGTTCACCCGACGGACACGACGCGTTTGGAGCTGATCATTCCCGGCGAGCAGCATTTTTACGTGAGGGCGGTGAACGCGGCGGAGAGACAACGCTGGTTGGTGGCGCTCGGCTCGTCCAAAGCCGGAAGCTTGGATGTGCACAAACACAGAGGTGCCTGCCCGGACCGCGTCCACAAAAAAATGACCGCTTCTATTCTATACGTGTTAGGGACGGGTGACTCCCCCGCCCCCATGCTCAAATATGCAAGTTGCTCCCCAAAAATTGGATGAAAAAAACCAACCAAACAAAACATCCCGAGCGAGCCATTTTCCAAAGACTCGTGAAAATGGCCGCTTGCCCCAGCCTGGATATGTGCATGCACGTGTGTTGTAGGTCCAGAATGTCTGAGGACCAAAATGTCGGAGCTTCGTCTCTACTGCGACCTGCTGGTCCAGCAGGTCCAAAGCATCCAATCACAGAGCGGCGCGGAGCGCCAGGACATGCCCCCGTCCGAGGTTTGGCCTCCAAAGCAAATCGACGCCGACGCCGCCTGCCGACGCCACTTTCTACCTTTGTGTTCCTCAGGCCTCCCTCCTTAGCGCCACCTGCGCCACCTTCATCCGGACGCTGGAGGAGTGCATGAGCTTGGCGCAGCAGAGCCTCGCGCCGCACCTGCAGCCTCCTGAAAGGGTCAGCCACTGTCCGCGTGTGTGTGTGTGTGTGTGTGTGTGTGTGTGCGTGTGCGTGTGCGTGTGCGTGTGGTGCGCTTTGCTTACACAGTCGAATCACGCGAAGCCAACGGACATCATTGAACGTGTGCTGTTTGGTGTCCAGATGAGAAGATCGGTCAGTCACCCTGGCACGTCCACTTTGGACAGGTCAGCCCAACCGCACGCACGCACGCGCGCTCGCAGTGTCGGTGTTGCTTCCCGCTTTCAGTCCGCTCCGCTTGTGCCATTCTTGTTGCCGGATTATCGCTCGATGTCCTCCCGTCAGGGTCCCCGAGAATGTGCCGCACTTACATTTGCCCGGATCGTTTCCGCTTGACGTTCTCCCGCTTGTTTCCCATGAGTGGCCCTTGTTGTTTGCTCCACACTTGCGTTCCGTTTTCTGTCTATGTTTGCTTGTCGCTGTGAACGTTTTTGTTTGTTGTGCTGTCAACAAACGGGAGCGTGATGGAAAGGTGCAACAATGCACCAATGAACCGACGGCTAAACGGTCAAAATAAGACATTTCCAGACATCACTTTGGAAACCAGTCATCAATCGCCAAATTTCTTGACATGTTCCAGAGTAAACCAAGAACTCAACCATAATTCATTGACTTGTGCATTTTTTGTCAATTTGAAATCATGGACCGGTTTTGAAATTAAATGAAATCATGTTTTTACCGATTCGTGGATGAATGCACAAAGTAGTGGCCAGATGACCCGACGGTTCAAATGAGGGTTGGTTTCAGCCCGACTGTTAAGACGCGCGTGTTGTTCAGGTGCGGCGTGCCGAAGGAGAGCGCCGGCGGAGGGCCGAGATGCAAGCCGCAGCGGGACCGAGCCAGCTCCGACAGTTCTGTTTACGACTCGGAGCCAACGATTAAAGGTGCCAACCGGTTGACATGAAAAGAAAAAAATCACAAACATCCGATTTACAACTACAATCACCCCCCCCCCCTCCCCTTTACATCTAAAAAGAAGCCAAATGACGTTGACGTCGTAGACGACGTTGACTTTTCCAAAACCTTCTTGGATTTGTTTTATCTGTCAAACCCGAAAAAGCTCGAAAATAATTTGATTCACTGCAGCCGCTTGCGTCAAATTTCACAGAAACGGTTAATCCCCCCCCAGGCCCCCCAATATATCATTTGAAAATAAGTGATTCCACTTGGAAAATGCCCTTTTTGTTCCTGCATTCGTTTGCACTTGAAGAGGACGGCCTCCAAGACTTAGGAAGCTGCACTGACATTTTTTGCAGAGGATAAAGAAGATGTTCCTTTGATTAGCGTTGGATCGTCTCGTCCGTGTGTCTCCGCCTCATTTGCGTTTCCATAGCAACCGCAAACCAACTCACTCGTGGCGTAGCGCCGTTTGGTGCGATAACTTCCCCTCCGTTTGCAGCCGGCCGGGTTTGTCGAGTGCAAGCGACGGCCTCGGCTTTGCATCACGTGGCAGAGATTCAAGTGACTCGGCGTTGCTGTTGCAGGTTTACTGGCCGACCTCGGCGGCGACGCGCCGTGCATCCCGGAGGAGCGGGGGGGCGCGGCCAGTCCGAAGACCGCTCCCGCGGACGCGGACACGGACGTGTCCGTGTGAAGGGCACGTCAAGGTCGGAAGGCGCCGCTTTGATGCGGACTTCGCCAACGTAGGACTCCCTCTTTGGCGGCGAGACCGGGCCGATGGCAAATGAGCACTCGGGACTCACTTGGAGTCATTCCTCTTTAGATTTGCCCGTGGCACTCGGAACTAGAATTCCCGACTGCGGCAAACAGGACCCAAATGGCCGCCGCCCCCATCCGCACCGCGATGTGAGCGCATGGCGACGGCCGTGCGTGGCGGCGATGAATTTTTTTTTTTCCTGCTCGGCTATTCCCGATGACGCGAGCGTGATTTCCATTCAGTCGACTCAAACCTGCGCCGCGTGTCGTCATTGGGGTGTAGCAAATGATCACCCGGCTCAGTCTCCGCCCCCCCAATCAGCGGACGGATATGTCGATCGACGTCGTCCCAACACAGCCGATGCGAGGGTGGCGCAATGCATGATGGTACTGGGAGGCGGCAGCTGGACTCCACTCCTTCCTTTCTTCCTGCCACTTGTGCACTTTAGCCATCAAAATCCCTTTCGGAGGGATGAGGTTGTCTGTGTCGCCAAGGCAACAGTGGCGGCGTTAAAACAAAAACAAGCTGCACTAAAGCACCGAGAAATAGTCCGCTTTCAAATGAAGAATGACTCCGGTTGTTGTTGTTGTTGTTGTTGTTTTTCCTCTGGATGTTAGGAAAAGAAAGTTGAGCCCTTAATAAAATCATCTCAAATGTCAGATTCCGTTTCTGACCTTCTGTCAAAGTTTTCATTCGTCAGCTGTTTTGAGTGGCGCGCGCCTGCGACGCGTCGGGCAGAGTAAACATCGGATGCCCCTTCGGCTTTGAGCGCGCCATCTGAAATGCGGGATGGTGCCAAAGTTGTCTCGTACGTTTGGGCCCGCCCGATGTTTTCTTTCCTGTTCTGAAATGCTTTCAAATCGATCTAATTTATAGCCACAAATGCCCAAATCGAAAGGAAATGTGATTGGCTGGTGAGTCAAAAAGCAAAGCCATATTTGGAGCACACATACATGTAAGTTAAGGACGTGTGGAATGTTCTATCTGGAATGCTTTGCTACTGGGGCATGTGTGTGTGTGTGTGTGTGTGTGTGTGTGTGTGTGTGTGTTTACAGAAGGTGTGCGTATGTGTGTTTGGATTTTTGTTGCTTTTGTCTTTGGACGAGGGAGCATGAGCCACAACGCGCGCGGTGCCGGATGTTGCCCAAGCTGGCCCGTTGGAACAGGACATGAAGGCAAAGGCGCTGGCGCCAGGTCAGTTGCTCACACACAAACCACGCGTGTCGGGTGTATTTGAAAAGTCGAAGAATTCAGGAATCAAAGGAAGTTGAAAAAGTGGCCATCCTGACACTGTCTGTCACTCGCCACGGGCGGAAAAGAAAAAGTGTCAGCAAAAAGCCCAATCGCTGAAATATTTGATGGACTATTGCGCACTAAACCCCTGCCGCGAGTTTCGTTTTTTCCAAAAATAATTCATCTATCCTCCTCTTCACTTCTGTCAGTTCATATGAACTGAAAAACAAACAGTTTGCACGCACATGTCCTTTGAATGTTTCATTGACAGGAACGGGAAGGACTCGAAACGGATTATTCATTGGCTCAAGGGTCCCATTCGTGCATTCAAATGACAGTAATTACTCGTACGTGCGTGTCAGCGCAAGACTCAATTTTCTCTTATCTGACTAAAGCAAACATTCGTGTTTGTTTAACATAACTCGACGCAACTGTATTTGTCGAGTGCTTTAAAACAACCACCGCTGACTACAAAGTGCTGGAACTGCAGCAAAAAGAATTCAGCCGGCAAACAATAAAAACAAGGATGTAACTACAAAGATGGTCCAACCCAAAAATCAAATCTCGTGCTGAGTCAAAAGCCAGAGAATAAAAATGAGCTGGGCAGCGAAGGGGGCTCATTCCAAAGAGAGGGAGCGGCCTTGGGAAAAGGCTCCGTCCCTTCGGAGCCTCGGCTTCGTTTTCGGTACCGCTCATAGTGTCTGGTCCCATGCGGACCCGAGGCGCCGAGCAGGAGCACCGAGAGATGGGCTGGGGCCAGGCCATTTCAAGATTTGGAAACAAAGAATAGGATCTCCAAACAAGACCTCAAAAATGAGCCAGTGAAGGGATGCCAGAGGAGGAGTCACACGCTCCCTCTTACGAGTAGTCGCGGTCAAGAGGCGAACGACGGCATTCTGGACCAACCGGAGAAGCTTCACGGTCCAAAATCAAGTGCGTGACGGTCATCTAGCCGAGATTTGACAAACGGCATCAGTGACTGTATCCAGAACTCATTAAAAAAAAAAAAAAAAAAAGGAGACACCTTATAAATTGGTCCAGACTTCAAATCGATCTAATTTATAGCCACAAATGCCCAAATCGAAAGGAAATGTGATTGGCTGGTGAGTCAAAAAGCAAAGCCATATTTGGAGCACACATACATGTAAGTTAAGGACGTGTGGAATGTTCTATCTGGAATGCTTTGCTACTGGGGCATGTGTGTGTGTGTGTGTGTGTGTGTGTGTGTGTGTGTGTGTGTTTACAGAAGGTGTGCGTATGTGTGTTTGGATTTTTGTTGCTTTTGTCTTTGGACGAGGGAGCATGAGCCACAACGCGCGCGGTGCCGGATGTTGCCCAAGCTGGCCCGTTGGAACAGGACATGAAGGCAAAGGCGCTGGCGCCAGGTCAGTTGCTCACACACAAACCACGCGTGTCGGGTGTATTTGAAAAGTCGAAGAATTCAGGAATCAAAGGAAGTTGAAAAAGTGGCCATCCTGACACTGTCTGTCACTCGCCACGGGCGGAAAAGAAAAAGTGTCAGCAAAAAGCCCAATCGCTGAAATATTTGATGGACTATTGCGCACTAAACCCCTGCCGCGAGTTTCGTTTTTTCCAAAAATAATTCATCTATCCTCCTCTTCACTTCTGTCAGTTCATATGAACTGAAAAACAAACAGTTTGCACGCACATGTCCTTTGAATGTTTCATTGACAGGAACGGGAAGGACTCGAAACGGATTATTCATTGGCTCAAGGGTCCCATTCGTGCATTCAAATGACAGTAATTACTCGTACGTGCGTGTCAGCGCAAGACTCAATTTTCTCTTATCTGACTAAAGCAAACATTCGTGTTTGTTTAACATAACTCGACGCAACTGTATTTGTCGAGTGCTTTAAAACAACCACCGCTGACTACAAAGTGCTGGAACTGCAGCAAAAAGAATTCAGCCGGCAAACAATAAAAACAAGGATGTAACTACAAAGATGGTCCAACCCAAAAATCAAATCTCGTGCTGAGTCAAAAGCCAGAGAATAAAAATGAGCTGGGCAGCGAAGGGGGCTCATTCCAAAGAGAGGGAGCGGCCTTGGGAAAAGGCTCCGTCCCTTCGGAGCCTCGGCTTCGTTTTCGGTACCGCTCATAGTGTCTCGTCCCATGCGGACCCGAGGCGCCGAGCAGGAGCACCGAGAGATGGGCTGGGGCCAGGCCATTTCAAGATTTGGAAACAAAGAATAGGATCTCCAAACAAGACCTCAAAAATGAGCCAGTGAAGGGATGCCAGAGGAGGAGTCACACGCTCCCTCTTACGAGTAGTCGCGGTCAAGAGGCGAACGACGGCATTCTGGACCAACCGGAGAAGCTTCACGGTCCAAAATCAAGTGCGTGACGGTCATCTAGCCGAGATTTGACAAACGGCATCAGTGACTGTATCCAGAACTCATTAAAAAAAAAAAAAAAAAAGGAGAGGCCTCAGAATTGAGCCCTGAGGAACACCACATGACAGTGGGGCAAGACCGCAGGGCTTATCAATATTGGTCATGAAAATGAGCTTCGGAGAGCGCAAACGCACATTCCCCTTTGTTTTCATTTTTCTTTTACTTATTTTGGTGGCGGTGGTGGTGGGGCAGTGAATTTAATGACTTGTGGTACCTGTTTGTCCGGTTGAGATGCGCACTGCTACGGAAGAGTCCTTTCAGGGCCGCCGCACGCCAAAGATGCGTCAGAACCCGACTTGGGCCGCAGCATCGCGCGACACTTCAGTTGAGTTCAGCGGCAATGAGAAAATCTCCCTGAATTTGAAATTGCAAATTGTGGAAAGCAAAATCAACAGAAACGCCGCTCATCTCCCTTGAAAGCCAAGAAAATGTTGCTTCTGATTTTGTGCCAACCCCAAGGAACAAATCCATCTTCCCCAAAAGATGAAGTTGCGCTTATTTGCTTTTGCGGTTGACATGAAATGATGCTTTGTCCCGCAGGGCTGGAATTTTTTTTTTCCCTTCTCGAAATGCTGACACGACGATGACACCCACGACGATGCCTAAGCAAACATTGCGAGGGTGTGTTTAAAAGGCCCGTTTGTAGGCGGCCCAGGGCGCAGAGATGGACGCGGCGCTGAGCGAACGGCAAACGCTCAACGGTCTGTATGGGACTCGTGTCTTTGATTTCTTGTCCGATCGTCCTCTTTGACATGATGAAAATTTTGCCGCCTGTTTTCCTTTTTCATTTGGAGAAGGAGGCGCCGAGGAGCAACTCGCAGCAAGTCCAAAGCCACCCAAGGTAACACCAGCACCCAATTTTGCAACACCATAACTCCAACTTTGAAATCAAGTACCGCCAAAAATACAGTTGTTACAACTGTACTTTAAAAAAAATAAAAAAAAAAAAGCTGAAGTTGAAAGGTGAGACGTGCTGTTCGAGTGCGCTCTGTTTCACATATAACATGTTCATTTGTGTTTGGTGAACTGATTCTTTTTGCGTAGACAGTGTGCTTGCACTTGACCGATGTAATTGCATCATTTTCTGCTGAGCTTCTCATAAAACCTTTTTTTAAATTATTTTTTAATTTTTTAAAAATGTAACAGTCTTACATGTATAGAAATAAATGTACAAAATCGTATACGGTAAACTGGATACAGTATTCATTAAAAAAAAAAAAAAAAAAAAAACACTTTGTGGTAATATACAGCAGTAAATAAGATGATATAACATGAGGAGAATTTTACATGTCCATTCAACAGATTTTGGTTTGAGTCAACGATTGGCTTATTCAATGAAAAAAGACGCAAAACTGAAAATATGTTGATTTTGTCTTGAAAGTAAACTCTGCTACACTCACACGCAACACGTTAATGAACCTAATTAGAATAAAATAATACAAAAAAAAACAAGAATATCATTCAAATGAACTATCTAAGATTTGGATATTAGTATTTGATTAAATATTTACTGCATTTGCTCCAATCAAACAAACGACGAATACTTCCCGTTGGCTGACAACCGGTCCTCGGTCTTGTCCAGAGGCGGCTCGGATGGGCTCCGGCTCGCCCACGACCTCTCCAGGTGACGCGTATAAAAAAAAAAAAAAAATAGATACTGTACAATGTATAGAAATGTTTAGCTTCCATATTTGAGGCATTTTTCTGAGGGGGGAGGGCTGATCTCCAAATGATGAGGCGCTTGAACACAAAGATTTGCCCACAAGGTTCGTGTTTGTGCGTGTGCTGTGATCCAGACCCGGAGCGCTCCAGAGTTGCTCGTCGTGTCTCGCTGCGCGGGCTGTTACAAGCAGCATAAACGCGGGGTCAAGTCGGCAGGATCCTCCGACGAGCGCGATCGGTCGTCGTCCTCCAGCGAAGACGACGACTACGACGAGCGTGAACGGGAAGGGGCCCCGCCTGCAGGGGGAGCCCATGAGCAAGAGGGACGCCGTGGTGAGCGACCGAGCAAGACGGGAGACGCCGAGTCCCACCCGGAAGGTAAAGTGCCGCACCCCGGCGAATAAATCAATCGAGCAAACCAAAATAGATTGAACAAAATAAAAATACAAAAACGGAATACATTCAAAAGCATTCAAAATATACATTTCGAATAAGTGTTGTAATAACATTTGGAATATGTGGCACATAAATACGAAAGTTTGGATCCCCTTTTTCACTTTTGGTCTCAATCTCTTGAAAAGGGTGAAAAAATACGCTAGAGATGTTTCTTAATGAAAAATAACCATCATGAAAGTATTTGAAAAGATTGTTTTAAACATATTTTTTTTTAAAACATGCCCCCCCCCCCCCCCATGTTTCCATGTAGACATTTTTTCAATATTGTATATCAAAAAGTGTTTGGAGAAAAATCTACTACAAATTTTAGTGGAAAAAAAAAACACACACACACAAAACAAATCCAGTGCAGCTCGTTTTGCGCAAGCGCTCAGCCCAGTTGAAGGCGTTTCCGTTTGGCTTCCTTCAGATGGCGCGTCCGCTCCGACTCCAGTCCAACCTTCACCTGCGGGGGGCGCCAGCCAACCGTAGGGCGACGTTACCCCGGCCACGCAGGACACGTTTGCCCCCACGGTGGTAAAACAAACAAACCAACCTGGCGCCAACTGTTGATTGGTGATGATTTTTGGTTGTAAAACTGGTTGGGCCTTTGTTGCTGTCTATTAAATATGTTGATGTTGACGTGACATCTTTGGTTGTTTCTTTGCTGTGAAAGAGGATCAACGCATGTTGGACTCGAACAGTGGATTCAGTCGCCGATTTGAAGCGCTCCAATTTGGCCTCAAGCCCCGATTTGAAAACGTAACCCTGTTTTCGAAGCCCTCATTCGACTCCCTACATTTGGTTCGAAGCTCCGATTTGAGAATTTGTAACCCTGGTTTCAAACCCGACCCTCGGCCTGAACTTTGAGCATTTCAAAAGAAATCCCGTACTTGTAATTTTGCTGGTGCACGAATAAAGTCTCTCCGTGACCTCCGCGGGTCCCCGTAGGCTCGGCTCTTCCGAGCTCAATTCTGTGTTGAAAGCGTGACGCTCATTGCAAATCCTAATGGTCTCAAATAAGATCTGAAGATCTGCGATTGGCTGGCAACCGGGTTGGGGGGTGTCCCCCGCCTACTGCCCCGAAGACGGCAGGGATAGGCTCCGGCAAGCCCGGGAGCCTCCCGGGGACAAGCGGCTCCGATAGTGGATGGCTGGAGAAAGTGAAGAATGTTGTTCAAAATCAACATCCAGTCGGAGTCCCATTTTGGAGCTGAAAAAAAAGCTGCATTGATGCCACTTGAGTCAATTAGACGAACTGCGCGCTGTGTTCCATAATGGACCGGAGCCCAGACCACTCCCTCTTCAACCACACACACGCACACACACACACACACACGCGCGCGCACACATCCTCTCGCTCTCTCTCTCTCTCTCTCTCTTTTCGTGTGGCTTTCCTTCTTTGTTTCTTTGCGTCGGATTGCGATGGAGCCCAGCAGTCCCAAGAAGATCCAGTTTGACGTTCCGCCGCTGCAGGGACACTTGGACCCTCAGGCCGCCGAGCACGTGAGTGGGTCGAGCCACCGTAAATGGGGCCTCCGCGCTCTCCATGGAATGCGTGCGTGCGTGCGTGTACGTGTCCCTCTCTCCTCAAAATGCCTTTGCTGTCCCCCGAGGGTCAAATAATTTGGGCTTAGTCAACAGTCTTGCCCTTGATCATGGAGCGCTTTTCCCAAATGAGCGGCGGACATAGAAATGGCGGCCGACGTTGCCCAACGTGGCTTTTCCGAGCGGCTTCCAACTCCTCGTGATCTGGTGATGATGACGCCGACGATGTGAAAATGACATGGTCACGTCCATGTGGGTTGGCCGAACAACATCTCTGTCTGCGTCCTAAATGTCAACACAAACGCTTCGTTTGACCTTCCAATCGGGAATATCGGATCACAATCTCCGCACGCTGAAAATGATGTGTGTACGTACCGTAAATGGATGCATATTATTTTTGAAACCGCTCCCTCAGATGATTCCACGCAGGTGATCTCGTTGCCATTCGCAAATAGTCATTGCCTTTATTGGATCAGTATTACGATCCGTGTTGACATCAACACAAAAAAATCGTCGTCGTACCACTGGTGACTTTCTGATCCACTTTTTTTTACTCTGTAAAGAATTTTCAAATGTCAATTGGGGAAAGAAAAAAAAAACTTTTTGCAGGATGCACATTGAATTGGGTTCCAAATGCAAATCTATTCAAAAATGAAACGTATTCCATGAAGAAAGCCATTATTCAATGATATCCATCTGAAAATGTTTCAAATGTGGCAGCAACGCCATTCGAATCGGATCGGATTGACACTGGCAGTCTTGAGTTGAGAGCGAGCGACTTCCTGAATCTTTCAAATCAACAAATATGTCTGCTTTTGTCGATACATCCCAATTGCTCTCAACCACATCCCTGTACTCTGACTCGTGTGTGTGTGTGTGTGTGTGCGTGCGCGCGCGTGCTTGTCACTTTGAGCTGCTTTGTGTGCATTCTTTTATACCACAGTTAACATGTGGCTTTTCCCCCATGTTTTCTATTCTCTTTTTTTTTTTTTTTTTTTTGGTTCAGATACGTCGCAGAAGACCGACGCCCGCAACTCTGCAAATATACAGACAACCAGGTAACGCATACACGCGTGCACACACACACACATGCACATTCGCGAATGAGCTAACTGCAGGTAATTTGTGCGTTGGCGGCGCTGTCAATAAAGAGCCTTTTGAACGTGGGCGGGACCCGGGTGGGGGCGAGTGGCGCTATAATGGAACCTTTATTAGATTTTGAGCTGCAGCATTTGGGAAGTGATGTCAGTCAGCGTGAAGGACTGGACTGATGGATGCTGAGCACGCACGTACTGTGTTCCATTTTGTGAGCTCAGCTTGGCAAATCTTCTTGTGCGAAGCATCCAAACAACACCCGAGTGTACGCCAGAGCAGTTTGTTGTGTATACTGTATCATAGTGTGCCCGTGTCGTGTATGAAGTGGCCATAAAAAGTCTACACACCCCTGTTCAAACACCTAAGAGCCTAAAACTTGAAAACTTTCTCCGCCAACGTCGAATGTGACATTTAACCCGTATGACTCCATTTGGGGGAAATGATGACATTGGGATGAATGTCACGAGGTCGACCAGTTGTTTCCAGACTCTGTGCTGCCATTTGTGTCTCATGCAGAAGCCGGAGATCAGCACGACGCCAACGGAGGCTCTCAGGTTTGTACAAGCGAGTGCGCGCGCATACGCCCGCGGGAGCAAAATGGAGTAAGCTGCGTGTTTGTATCCCCTGGGCAGTGTGGAGATGGCGCTCAGAGGAAGCAGAGCGCTTTGGCCCCGCCCACCACCAAAGGTAAACAAAGTCCCCGTCCGTCCGTGGCTGATGATGAAATAATGAGTTGTCAATTTTAGCGAAGCACCAAGTCGGGAGCGCGCCATCCACACGGGTCGGCGTGGAACGTCTGCCTCGCACTTCTGAAGCTCACGGTTTGATTATTTGACGTTGTGAAACTCCGTTTTTGTGAGCGTGTCATAAATGTGCGAGAAAAGGGTGGTCTGCGCCGTTGTGGCTGCATCATAATATCATGAGCTTTACAGTATCTTGAGGTGTCATATTTTTAATATCGCTCGCCTCCCCACGATATCGTAATCGTTGTTGTCATATTGGGGTAATATCATATCGTGATATTTGGATTCCATCTCTGAGCCCACGTCACAATACTTGGACTGTTTGCTCTCTTACTGTTGCGCCTGTCTGCATGGCTGATTTGCAAAAAAAAAAAAAAAAAAATGTGCGCTTTCCTTAAGCGCACATGCAAATCGGTTCTTTTCTGGCATGCCGTTGCAGCCCGAGCCATGAGCCATCGATGCGCTTCCGCCATTAGAACCGCCCCCGCCAGGGGAAGGCAAATAGTGATTTGGCCCACCCGCGCCAAAAACAAGTTTGGCAGCCCCGTCCCGTCCTGTCATCACCTGCCGCTCCTTTTGGCCTTCTGTCGGCCGTGTGTGCGTGTTGCTCGTGCTTCCCGCTTTCCCTGTGACACCTTTTCGGAGGCTCACAGCCTCCATCTTCTTTTTGCGTTGACGTGCCTTCGTTGTTGTTCCCGCGATGCGGCATATGCGCGGAGAGACGAAAAACATCCACAAACTTGGTGGGCAGCCGTCTAATAGGAAGTGAAGACCTGCCTTAAAAGCTTTCTCTTCTATTGATCCACAAAGAGTGCGTGCGTGTGCGTGTGTGTGTGTGTGTGTGTGTGTGTGTGTGTGTGTGTGTGTGTGTGTGTGTGCGTGTGTGTGTGTGTGTGTGTGTGTGCGTGTGTGTGTGTGTGTGTGTGTGTGTGTGTGTGTGTGTGTGTGTGTGTGTGTGTGCTTGCGCACGCTTGCACATGGCAGCTCCTAATAGCACCACGAGCAGCGTTAGCATTAAAAGCGCAACAGCAGGATTTCTGTTGTGCAGACTAAGAGGCAAACATTTAAGCGAGCTGCCAAATTGTCCGCATGTCTTCTTTTCTCTCTTGGTGAACACGGCGTGAGATTGAGCATCTTACCACTTTTCTCATGGCAATTTTGTTTCTTTTTGATGCGACTGCTATTTCATTTTATTTCTACGGAAACTGAATTCGGTTGAACTATTTTCCAACGCACATTTGAACTTGATTTAGATTGACATTTGAATTTTATTGAATGTAGTTTCATTTAATTTGCAATTTAATGTTGATTGATTTTAACGCTAATTGTATTTTTAATTTTAAAATTTGATTCAGATTCAATTTTATTTATTTCTTCAATTTCAATGCAATTACATGGCGTTTTATTTTTCCGCACAGATTTTATTCACATGATTTATGCATTTTCCCATGCACATTTCACGTATATTGAGATGCACGTTCCAATTTGACTTCATCTTATTTGATCATTCGGTGCATGTTTTGATTTCATTTGGTGCAGTCGTGCAAATGTCGTTTGCAGCCAATCGAAGTGATGTTGATGCAACTTGAATTTTGTTCAAACCAAGGCCTGGAAATGAACGGAGTTGAATCGAATGGCAAAGGTGCGGAAGGAAGCACTGTGATTGTCGTCCTCCTCAGGGCTTCACGTGGGGGCGGAGCACCCGCTGGCGGGGGGGCCGGACTGTCAGTTGAGTCCGAACTCAGCGCAGCTCTCTGCCGGCTCCTTCCCGTGGACCAATCAGAACGGGCCGGAGGAAGCCAACGGGAACCTGGTAGCCAATCACGAGAGAGGCGTGGCACAGAGCAACAGTTGCGGCGGTAAACATATTCATCGTTGGATATTTTTACAAGCACTCTTTGAATCATATCGAAAGTCCCAAATTTGAGAATATTTTGAACGGGATTGGCATTTGGTTGCCATTCGTCCGAGCGTGTTTCCATGGATCGTTTGGCCACCAAATTGGAAGCACTCCGAATGGGAAACGAAGCGTTCCGATACTCTGGCGTATGTATGACGTACGGTTGGCCTGAATGGAAGCAGAAATGGGCAATCCGGGTCCAGAGAGTAAAAACCCTCCCATGGTTTGTTTTTAGCCGCAGGCAGGCCCGGATTAGCTAATCTGGACACTCTGGCAAATTCCCACTGGGCCGGACTTCAATCTACACCGGGGATGGGCAATTTTTTTTTTTTTCTGGATGTGGATTTGCCATCTCTGAGTGGAACTAACCCCGCCAACTTCTTCTGGTTCTGACGCATGGCCTTGCTTTGTCCTTTCTTTCTACGATTTTCTCAGATGTGTCATGCGAGTCCCAAAAAGAAGCTTCCAGCCCCGACTCGGTCTCTCGATAGCCGCCGCTGCGCTTCCTCCTCTTCACCCTCCTCTTCCTCGTGTTCATGCTGCTGCATTACCCGCTCGACAACAACAAGAACGAGAACACTGTACAATCTCATGTAGGATGACATTGATGCACATGACATGGCTGTGAATAAAGATGTGTTATTATATGGCAAGTAGGGCATCGGGAATCATTCGTCGTGATGATGAGTCCTATTATGGCTGTGTAAGAAGCTTGTGGAATGAAGTTTCTCCAATGTTGCCTCAGCGGCATGCCTTTGATACTCATTTTGCGTCCTCTGGAAACCTTTCGGAGGGGATTTGGGGGCTGAACAAAACAGAAGACAGCTGTTCAATTATCATCCTATTGCCAAAACAGCAATCTCGGAAATATAACCTGGGCGATGAGTTGTTCCCCTGAACAGCCGCGATGCCATTCCCGGTGAGTTGGCGTCATTCACAGCGCGTGCCTCACCAATTAGCGTCCATGATTAGTTCGCAATCAAAAGCCATATCTTCAGAAACTGTTTTCAGCGCTTGACGCATGCGCCGAAACCACCGTGTGCATTGAATTTGCACTTGAAACTGTTAAGTGTAAAATACAGTAATAATAAAAATTGGCAATGTCATTTTTAACTGTCAAAAAAAGCAATATTTCTTAAAAAAAGTTTTCTTTTTCTTTCTTTCATCCAGGTCTTTCGAAAAATGTTGACTCGGGGTCAACTGCTCTTTTCTTCCTTGTAAACTGTTGTGTTTTCTTTTGTTTTGTTGAGTTATGTTTTTTTCTGTTTGTTTTTGCAGGAAATCTTGAATCTTCTGTGCCGGAAGAAGAGGAGGAGGACATGAAGCATCAGAATGAATAATGTTTGTTTTTGACTACCGGCATTTGGAATAAAACCTTAAAACTGGGCTGCAGCACCCTCTAGCGGAGGGTGGGTGACCCTGCATACTTTCAACTCCAGTACAACAGTATTTGAATTCTGACTTGTAAACGTTCTTGCCAACTCAATTCTCGCGGGATTCACAAAACCCCGTGAATCCTGTTGGTCACGAACCCGCCGATGTTCTCCGAGTTTGAGAGGCACCGCTGATCGGGCGGACCAGTCACAAGGCAAAAGGGTGTTTCGGGGCGGGATGTGCGGCTGTGACATGCGGTCCCCCCGAGGCGACATGAGGAAGAGCATTTTGGGAGCGTCCAAGCACCATGCCCGCGAATTGTTTTTCTGGAATTTGGAAAGCACGTGCAGTCGAGTCGCAGAACGACGCGTGCGAATTTGGACGAGCCCGTCACAGCAACCGTACAAACGTCTACAATGTCTTTTTATCGACACAAGATGTCACCAGAATCATCAAAAGATAACAGCCGCTGTTTGCATATCTTTCGATGAATAAATTATACGTGGGTGTTGAACCCAATTTATATACGAAATACAACCGCTGAAATGTTTGGGAGCATAAAATGTGCAATATGAGCCTCGTGACCTCCTGCTTCAGCATTAGAAGGAAATCAGCCAAGTCCTCCACAAGCAACGTCCCAAGGAGTCCAAAGTGGTTGCGAGAGCGCCACCTACCCACACTCGTCATGTACTGTCGTGAGGTCAGCTCGAGTCGAGGTGATGCAATAATAACCTTCAATGGTTTCTTGCCATCTTGGGAGAAGGCCGCAAAGCAAAGAACCAAAAGCGCTCGGACGGATGAAGACATGTTCACTTGTACTTTATTAACCATGATTCGAGAGCAGCCGAGGGCTTCGTGGTACTATGTTACAGAATGCATGATCCCCGATCCCTCCCTCCCTTTCCCTCTCACACACACAAACATATGATGTAGTGTTGTTAACACGTTTGGCAAATTGAAAAAATAAGAAAATGTAAAAACAGACCAGTTGAGTTCACGTCAAAAACCTTTTTTTTTGTTTTGTTTTCTTTTCTTTTTGAATATAACCCACAGAGTTCATGTCACCACTAGCTAGAAAAGAACCCCAAAAAATCACCATGTTACAAGTGTATGCGCGCGTGAGTGTTTTGGCTATGAAATGTGACGAGGCGGCGAAATGAGTGGACTGTCCGTGTCATCGATGGAAAATGTACACAACCGGCAAGCAAACGTCGGCCGCCCTCCTCGAGCAAAAATGAAAAACATCAAGGAAGAAAATCATCCAAATCCGTCACCACCACATACAAGCCGTCAAATAGTTTAGTGTCAACTCAATATATATACTGTATATTTATATATACTATTTATTTATAATTTTTTTTTTTTGTCCTCGCATAACAAACCAGCCCGTGCTCGAGTTTGTTTTGTGTTGCCGCGGCTGGGGTCCCCCAAGCAACAGCATGAAATAATATTAAAAAAATAAAAAGGAATAAAACCGAAAAAAATTGTAGACTGATCCCCAACTTCATCCAGCTAGTGTGTGTGTGTGTGTGTCACTTGTTGGTCGCTCAGCCAGCAAAGGTACTTGTGTACGTGTGTTATTTTTACTTGGTATCAGTACAGTGAATCCACAAATATTTGCGGTGCAGCATCCACACGTTTGCGTGTTTGCAGATTTTTGGGGTGAACGTATCCCTTGTTAGTATCTAAAAAAACCTAAAAACTCACCTCACTCATTTTTTGTGTCGTCATATGTGGCATTGAAGTGGGTTGAGCAGCTTCACTGAGACAACAGTAGTGGTTTGCCACCCTCTTGTCGCCAGAGAACTATAGTGAAGTGCGTTGGCGAGCTTAATTTAGACAGACGCTTTGACGCCATTTTGTGGCATCGGGGAACTTTGTTGAAGGGAGTTGAGGTACCCCTTTTAGACAGAAGTAGTGTTTTTCTCCCATTGTGTGAGAGCTATAGGCAATTCTAAAACTTTTGAGGAGGAGCCGTCAGCCCCATTGTAAAAGTAAAAAGTCATGTGGGCGAAGGACAGAGCCCTGCTGCCAATCGTGAAAATCTGCCTGGAAATGATGCCCCCGGGAATGTTTACAATTTCCCAGAGACACCACAAGATGGTGCTATAGCACTATTTTTTTCCAAAAGAAGAAGCTCCTCGCCTCACTTCCATGTAGTTTCTTGGCACCAAGAGGCCACAATCTACATGATGCAGGGTGTGTGTTTGTGATGCTGTGGCATCTTAGGCTGGTTCGAGGTGAGTTCTTCATCAAATCATGGAGGACAGCGAATCGCAAATAGGCGGGAAAACACTGCGGTGTGCGGAGGCATCTTTTTAGAGTACTGTCAGGTGTGCGTCCGCAGAGGAAGCAGACGGCAACAGTGCGCGTGCGCGCGTTCATGCGTTGGCGCTGATGCTCTGCTTGTAGACGGCATGGTAGGCGTTACGCAGGAGCACGTATGGGAAGCAGGATTCCAGCAGGTCCATGGTCAGGAAGGGGGACTCCTGCACGATCTGACAACACCACAACGCGGACACACGTCAACGCGGCTGTGCGCAAAAAAAACGCAATCAAATAGTGTTCAACAGCGAGGTCGCCGTTCACCTTTCGTTTTCTTTTTGTGCTATTTTTCTTGAGCAAAAATAAGCAAACGCATATTTTGGTGTTGCGGGAGGCGTGGAACGATTTTTGATGGCAGACCTGACGGGTTTTCGTTGCCCATCGCGCGGCGTCATTTAACACGCGGCAAATCTCACCATGTCCAGCAGCAGGTAAACCGACTCTCTGTTGCGCGTCGTCATCTTGTCCGTCTCCTGGCCGATCTTCAGAAGGCTGGACGAGGCCAGCTAGATACAAACGCACGCATGCGCGCGCACACACACATACACAAGCAAGTGTTAAGATGTCAGAGATGCATATTGATCAAGCTGCCACCCTTTTGTGAAGTGAAAAAAAAAAAAAAAAAGTAGACAGTACACACAGACTTTGAGTACGTCAAGAAATGATGCGTAGCGAAAGCAAGGCGCTTACAGCCAGGAACTCTTTGAGCCGGTCCTCGATGCTTCCTTTGTGGATGGTGAAGAGCGCGGCGGCGATCTGGTTGATGGCTTTGGCCAGGCAGTGGATGTTGTTACAGTGGCCTACGGGGGGACAGCGAATACAGCGCGGGCTGGGCTAGCTCCTCTTTCTTGGGGGGGGACTTTTGGGACATGGCGGAGGCCGGCCCACCAAGCATATTCATTAACACTCCTAAGTGCGTGCGTGCGTGCGCGCGCGTGCGTCTAAAGTGGAATTACTCGATTGCACATACACGTTGTAATGACTTTTTTTTTTTTTTTAACCTTATCTCCAAATGACCTGTCCAGTGTGTCCGTGGCTATTGAGCAAGTTTTCCCGTCACCGCGTTAGCGTGCAATTGTGGAGAAGCCATCAAGACATCTTCTTTCAGACAGGAAATGATGGAGGTCATTCGGGTATTTGACACCAAGTTCAAGTGACATTTAAATCCACAATGAGCGCGTGCCCGACCAAGCGCGCGCATTCGAGAGGTGCTCGAGACACGCGACGGCCGCATACTAACAATCGAGCCTATTACCAGTCATTATCCTCTTCCGGCGGCCCTTATTAACAATGGCGCCTTTCATTTCAAGGTTGTTAGCGTCGGTGCGTCTCAATGACTCCATCAAGAGAGGCTCTCGCTCCGCCACGCCGCAGAATCAACTTTATTCAGCGCAGCCCTTTTTTTTTTTTTTTGTTGCAATAATCACCTTCAATTAGCGCCGCCGAGTGGAGTGACCTTAACGCGGAGGTAAGCGGCGAAGCTGCAGCGTAATGAATCCATCGCGGCCGCTTTGCTTGCCGCCGCCTCGTGCCACTGGAGCAGTAAATGACAGTTCCCGACGCGCTCTCTGCCGCAGTCGCGACACGGCCGGCGACGTCTCGCTCTTCCCTTTTCACGACGACAACACACGCGGGACGTCCTTGAATGTTGGCTTCGCCTCGGAAGGCGTCTCAACTCCCGTGCTACTTTGGAATCAAACAACGGACGTGTAGGCTCGCCATTTAAGATTTGATGTTCGTTGCCAGATGCCGGTGAAATTAGCAACAACGGCGAGGCCCGGCCGGCGCCCACATGCGGCCTGCAGCGTCAAGCAAAAGTTTTCATGTCATGCGAAGTGGCTTTGCTCCTTTCATTTTGGCCGAGATCGCAACAAATGAGACCATTTTCCTTCCGTTTGCAATTCCGAAAGTATTCTTTGAAATACATTTCTCGATAGTCTACCTGAGCATTTTGGTGTTCTGGAGGTGTGCGCCGATACTCGTGTCAGATACTCCTGGAAAGTCCTCAATACTGTACGCACGTGTATAGCACAGCCGGACATACCTTACAGGCGCAATTGTGGGAATAATAGGACGAGCTCATCATAGTTTTGCACGATTTTGTGGCAATGCTTGTTTGTCGTCGTGTGCCCAGCGATTGGCTGGCCCCCGGTCCCGGCGCCGGTGAGGATGCGCAAGATGTACGGTTTGGGTGTACCTTCGATGGCGGGGCTGTACTGCGACATGACGTTGCTGGCCAGCGTTGGCAAGGAAACGGCCACAAACACCATCAGCAGACACGCAATCTTGTACTCTTCCTCTGGACTGATGTTCTCTACGCGCACAGCCACCGTGAACAACATTGAGGGCAAGCCCACACGGCTCTGTTGGGGTGTGTGTGCGTGCGCGCTTTACCGGTCTTTTGCGAGGACAGCGCCACCACCAGGGCCGGGTCGATCTCGCACGGCAAACCGGCGGCGGAGGATAGCTCGTAGACGTTCATGGCCACCTGGATGGACACAGACACACACACAAAAATAGACGAATATTATTGTTGGCATTATTGAGAGTTTCAAACCAGACTTGATTGGAGTGAGCGTACCTTCATGTCGGTCTCCCTGGGAATGTGGTCCTTGAAGTCCTCCACTGAGCTGACCAGGAATGGAATGTGGCACGATAACACCTGCGCGGGAGAACAGGAGAGGTCGGGCTAACCTCGAGCAGCATGAAATGATGACAAGAAGAAGAGCCTTGATGGAGAAAGAAGATTTTGGGTCGCCACCAAGGAATAAAGGTCATCACGAAGGTTTTTCATCGGGTTTCGCCACGCTCGTCGGTGTCATTCAAGCTTTGACTCGACTGCAGTGATGAACAGACTCCAGCAGATGGCAGTCTGACACTCGAATAATATGTATCGGTATAGGCATAACGGGGTATGTGTCGCAGGAAGTAACGGAGTGCGTGTCTGTCGCGATCCTGAGAAAAGATAACACTGGTGAAAAAGCCGCTGACTGTATTGGCGTCAAAGTGTTCTGGTTGACGTTCCTTTTCACTCAAAACTGCATTTCTCTGCTTTTTGGTCAGAGACCAGGATTTATCAGCGAGACCAATCCAAGTTCCACTACACTAACACTACAGAAACCCCCGGTGTCTACTCTTTCTTTTGGTAGAATAGCTGCTCACTCAGCCACGGAGCACAATATTCTGTGGGTCAATCAGTTGAAAGGGCACGGCAAGGTGCCCTGAAATGGTCGGCCATCGGGCGAACTGGGCACTAAACGGGGCTGCCTGTGAACGAGTCGCTTTATTTACTGCGGCAGCGGTCCACTCATCTGTCGCAAAACAGGACGGCTCAACGTGAACTGTTCATTCCCAGCTGACATTTTTGCCATAGTTTTGCATGGCGAGGTTCGGCCAGGGTAGCCAATTTCATTTCACTGCGCCTGCACGGCTGCGGGGGGGCTGCTCGAATGAGGTCCGAGTTGACGCGACAGAGCGCGCGCTTGTGTCTTGGTGTTTCTTACGTCTCTCAGCGCTTCCTGGGCCAGGGAGCGGAATGACAAGATGACTCCAATGATCGTCATCCTCTTCAGGACGCTGTCCACCGCTACAAAAAAAAAAAACAAAAAAGAAGAGCAAAAGGAGTGGCTGCATGTCAGAGTGACGAACCAGAAATCCATTTCAAATCAAATCACTGAAAGCCGGGTGCCTACAAGTGAGCTTCTTGAACAGCGCCGCCATGTGGTCGGGTTTGTCAAAGCTGGTTCTCATCTGGGTCAGCACTTCCATGTTCTCCACCACTAATTTCTGCGCACATGACATCACGTTCACAGCGAACGCTAAGCTGGAAAAAAAAATTGGGGCCGTACGCCGCCCGTACCTTGAGCTCGGCCACCTGCGAAGAGATGTGCCACATGAGGCTTTCGCTGAGGAACTTCATGCCGTACGGCCCCAGCAGCTCAGACAGCGAACGCATCTCTGCCGGGGAGCACAAGGACAGTTGCTGACAGTCGGGTGAGGGCAGACGAGGGGAGGAGAGGACGCACGGGCGTCAGTACCTGAGATGTCAGAGTACTCCTCGGCATTGAAGGTCAGCTCGTTCTCCGTGGGCAGGTTGACGAAGGCCTTCATGGCGGGAAAGTAAGCGATGTGTCCGTTGCTGACCTGCCGGAGCAACGTCTCCAGGTACCTGGCGCCGACGTTTGAAAAGCGACATCAAGGTTGCTGTCCGGGACAACGGCGCCTATTTTTTTGCTCTGGGTGGACGAGGCTTGAAGTGGGAAACGTTCGCTTTCACCGCGGCTTTGTTTGTGAGCAACTTCGCCTTCCCGAAAACGTTCTGATGGCAGTTTTGCACAAAACTATTTGAACGGAATTTGATCATAAAACAGCGTATGACGGCGAGTGCTCCTCGGGGATGGACACGGTACATCCAAACCGATTGCAACTGGAACAGGTGCTTGATAGCGCAGTTTGTTTTTTTTTTTTTGCTCGGACTATTCCACTGGTCAATGAACATGGCGAGTCCCACAGAACACGGTCGGTCACGTCTCATCAGATCAGAATTTGCTTAAATAGTGGTTGAAAAAGTCGTTTTTGCATGTTTTTATTTTGATCCTATTGATTATTATTATTATTATGATTACATTCAAGCATTTTGTGTGTGTGCGGATGTCGAAATAAGAGTTTCATTTCTGGACCGGGCTGAAACTTGACCTTCTTTCGAAGCCTCTCGCTCCTCGGCGACAAGAGGTGGAGAGAAAATCTGAAGCGCTCAGTGATTTTTGTCGCAGTTTGCCATCCTAGCGCAAGTAAAAAGGCGTCGAAAGAGCGCGCTACGCCGCCGCGCCACGCGACGCCATGGTGCGGACGATGCGGAACGACGCTTCGACGGGCGTTGCGACGCACCAGTTGGTGTACAGGCTGGTGATGGTGGGCTCGCCGTGGCTGTCCAGGTGCTGCGTCTGCTGCAACAGCACGTTGTTGAAGACCCGCGTGATGTCGATGGTGACGTAGTTCTCGATGGACTGCAGCACCGTCATGTAGGCCCGCACGCTGGTCAGCAGCTCGCTGGGCTTGGCGATCTCCTGAGTGGTCTGGTTGTACATGGTCATGCCCACGATGGACCTGGAAGGGGGGGGCAGGCAGTTTATTCCGGTGACGTTCTTCTGCTGTCACCTACGTGCGAGTCGGAAGACGCGCCTTTTAACCTTAAAGTTGCCATGGCAAAAAAAGTCGGACGAGTCACCCCTTAATTTTCGAGTCATTACTTGGGCCCACTTTAAGGCATTCGCCACATTAGGACGCTTCAGGAACGAAGCGCAGACACAAACACATCGACACGAATATAGATTGGGACTGTTTCGAGACCGCGCTCCACATCGCAGGAGTCAAACGCCGCAACGCACCCGATTCAAATGATCCGGATCGCTCTCAGACTCCCGCGGAGCTTGCTG